GACAATAAGCAATAAAATACACCACTATAGCAAAGATTCATTAAGTTCATCGGTGATTTGCGATTTATGAGAAAAACATTTTTATCCTATTTTCGTACACTGCATGACTTCGGTCATGACTTGCATGGCTTAATGATTTTTGTCATATGGGATGAAAACTTACATGGGAAGCTCTACAGACCTGTACTGATTTATTTCACACGAAACAGGGTGGAACAACAACGCGGTTTCTCAGGTAAACGGCTGCTTCTCCAGTCCCTCAAAATGCCCTTACGTACAACTGCTTCTCATATAATCCTTGTTCCTGATACTCGACACGAATAAGACATTATTTTAATTATAGAACGAACGCTATGACGGACAGCAAGTCTAATGTCATCATGATGTAAAGATCACTTAAGCGCATAAAGCCTTTATCCCAATGCCGCTTAGGGGGCATTATGGCTTTATCCTACCGCAGTTCTTAGATATGTGGTCAATCCGGAAGAACTCTGAAGCACATCACGCATTCTTTCGGTTAAGAAGTAGGATATTTTGGATATCACTTTCTGTTGGTTGGTGTGCACTAATTTCCAACGTTGACGGGCTAGTAATGTTTAGAGAAGTAATCTTCCGGCACTTCTGTTGAAAAGCTGTTGGAAATAATGAGCCCATCGTTTGACGTTGCTCTCCTAACGCATTAACGCCCATTTCTGACGGCTTAATCAAACAGGCATTTATACAGCTTTGTATGACTATATACCTGTGTGGATGAGTCTCAAAATGCTAGTAATTACAATTAGTAATGAAAGAATCGAAACATGAAACCTTTTGTTTCTGTGAAGTCTTGAAAGATTTCAAGCGAACCCCTTTCATCTACGTCGCACGACTGAGAGCTGTTACTCGCAGGCACCTACAAAACAAACACCTTGACGAACAAAAATTCAAAGCATGTTTAAGCGTGAACTGTCATCATATATAAATTAGTAATGATAATGATCACGGCCTAGAAAAAATCTAAGGTCAGAGAAGCATTAACTCGATGCGCTTGCTGACGTATGCACAATCCCGGTATACTGCAGGAAACAAAAGGAATATCTGAGCTACGATAAGAGAAACTTGCCAGCCCCTATTGAATCATCATCCCATTCCTTCCCTTCTACATAGTCCCGCTTAAACTTGAAAATCCACCACTAGATCCTGAGAAAACTGCGTGAGTAAGTGTCTAAAGTATAAATAAAAACACACAGTTTCGACAACACAAAAAATACACTAGCACCGCAATGCACTCGAGAACTAATGTAGAATTAATGCGAGCGCCGTTATAGCCACTGCGTTTGGGTGTGGCAAAATTTGCGGAAGGAGCAGCTACATGGAATAATTCGAAGCAGACCTCACTTTACCTGTATCCATGAACTGGGACCTGACGGACGCGCTGAGAAAAATATTACATGACATTTTCATGCATATAACGCTGGCCGCTGCTACGAAACACTGTCATCCCCCAGAACCATGAGTTTGAATAAACAGCCGCTGATTTTCAACATTTTTTAATGTCACACAAATACACAACAACGATCACTGTTGTCAGCGATGGCGCTAATCAGTAAACAGTGGCTATTTTTAACGTCTGTTGCTCTTAAAGTCGCTGGACTAAAACACGAATAAAGTAAAACAACTTTTACTTATTACCAGACACAGAGGTGAAAACAGTCTGACATCAATTAAGGGGAGGGGTATCATTCAATAACTGCAACCGATCTGTAACCACATAGATCCGTTACGAGGATCTGAGCATTTCTGAAACCATAGTTCAAACGACCGTTTCAGGGCAACAAAACGCGCAAAACAACAGTCCCCGCTATTTTGTAAAGAGAAATGAGCATTGTAGTCATCTGCAATCAGCACACAGCGATCAAGACACCCTTCGAGGATTTACGCCCTCAATCGCATCATTGGTGCTAAAACCTCTAGACGTCCTGTCCTGACTTGACCTCTCTGAACCAGTACCGCTGTTAGGGGACTTTGCCAAGTCTACTCCTAAATTTTGAATCATTCGATTCATTTGCTTATTCATTGCTGACTCAAAAGTTTTCAAAATTTTGTCTGTACTGAAAAACAACCCTAGTTCAGTAAGCCAACGACTTTCAGTTCATTAGCATTTCTTCCATTTTTTAAGATCGCTTTAGTTTCTTACCTAATTTCATACGAAAACGGTAATGACGTAGCTGTAAAACCTACTAATACAAATGCATGAAACAAGAAAATCTAGCAATTCTAGACACTACTATTACATATTAACGACGTAAACGTATTTTGTTCTCTAACCATGTTCAGTTTGTCTCGCGAAATCTCGAAGATGGAGTATTAGGTTAGTGCATTAGTAGTCGTCTTGAAAACAACATAAAAACTGTTCAGAGCAAAACCGTAAACAGTCGGATAACTAACCAATACCAACGTTTTAGCCAGTATTTCACCAACCTTCTACAGAGTTCTACACGAAGTTCAGAGTTTGTCCATAGATTAGCATTGTAAAAGCAAGGTGAGATATGTGCCGACGCACCGGCATCAGTCAGTAACCAGACTGACAACATTTTGCGTTCAGTATTAACGAACCATTTCTTTCATGGTGAGAAAATATACTGAGGCTGCTTATTGACGTAGGGACGAAATGCACTTTGCGTAAATGATTTCAGCAAACCAGCACTAATTCTGATGCATTCGTCTTTGAATGGGAAACATTAGTCACGTACATGAAATAATTAATGCTGAAACTTGTTCACATCCTATGACATGCAACTATCCGGCTTTAAGCTGAAAAATTTCAAGTTAATATAGATATATTACTGCTCCGCCATCACTACCCATTTAGTTGAAAAGGGCTTGCGTCGTATGATGTGGACAACGCAGCAACAGGGTTTTGTTAAAGGCATCACAAGTGTTGCTGCCTTACCTTATGTCGGGACAATGTAAGCCACCTCGTTGCTGACCTTTTACAGCGTTTATACGGACAGAACAGAAAACCAAGAACATACCAGAACTGATAAATACCGCACGATGGACACCGCGCATTCTGACATTGGTCCAGAACAGGGCTTCGCTATCGCCGTGACTCGTTCCAGCGCGGTGATCAAGGAGCAAGTGTCGTCGACGCCTGACAACAGAATGCGCAAACGTTCGAAGGCCCGCTGAAAAGCTGAAGCTACATAAACGGAGTAGAGTCGGACCATCTACCTGAAATGCGTCGGCGACGCCACACAGCTGCTTCTCTGATAGACATGAGGCATTCAAGCTGCAGAGTGCGAAAAACTCCATGACTACCGACGCGTGTGCGATGCATGCAGAGAACTGCAATCGTAAACTTACATATCATAAACAGGCAGAACATGATTTAAAAAACCATTTTCGACGAATCGATCCTGCTCGACAGCTGGCTTAGCACTTGGAAGAAGTTCTCATCCGACAGCGTCGTCTGGGTATGGCGATCAACCGG